GGCACCATCAGCCTTCTTCACCACACTTACTTATGCACACATTCATCTTCAGCGTTTATGTGGGGAAGGTGGTCACACAATGATGGTTTTGTTCTTTGGTGTCTGCTACCTGATCCCTTCAACACCTCGTGCTCACACAGGCTTGTGTGCTTCTTCTCTGTGAGCTTTGTTGCTTCCAAGCTAGATGGCCGTTTGTTTGCCTTCAAGCCTTTAAGACCAATGTCTGGAGTTTTAAAGGCTTGAAAATAAACAAGTGGCCATTTAGCTCAGAAGCAACAAAGCCCACATGGAAGAAGCACACAAGCCTGTGTGATCATGAGGTGTCGATGGGATCAGGTATCAGGCATTTAAGACCCAGAATAAAACCATACCCAATGTGAATGAGGGGAGGCATGGAGTGGAGACCCAATACCCAACTGTAGACAACTGGACATCCCCTTACAGAGGGGTCACAGGGAAGAGATGAGTCAATCAGGGTGTACTATAACACTGATGAAACACACAACTTTCCTCTAGCTCTTTGGTGCTTCCTTCACCCTACTATCATGACCTCAATTCTACCTTACAAATTGGATTAAACCAGAGCGTGCACACTGCCATAGATAAAAGCACAGGGAATCCAGGATAAATAAACCCCTCAGGGCCAACAATGAGAGTAGTGATACCAGGAGAATTAGGGGAGGGTGGGGGGAGAAGGATCAATCTAGAACCCCCTCCCAGGGGGACGAATAATGGAAAAATGGGTGAGGGGTGATGGAGGACAATGTAAGATATGGAAAAAATAATCTAAAACATAACAAACATTCGTGAGGGAGGGTGGGCAGGGTGGGGGTGGAGGGGGAAGAAATGGGGAGCTGCTATCAGGGGCTCAAGAGGGAAGAGAATGCTTTGAAAATGATGTTGGTGGCATATGTGCAAATGTACTTGACACTTTGGAGGAATGTATGGATTGTGATAAGAGATGTAAGAGCCCCCAGTAAAAGTATTTTAAAAAAAATCCAAATATCCATGAAATGATTAATGGAGAAACTGAATTTGCTATAGTTATACAATAGGATATTACTTATCCATAAAACAAAAACATGAACCTTGGAAATATTATGCTAAGTGAAAGATGCCAGATAGAAAAGCCACTTGGGATATGATGCTGTTTGTATGACATGACCATAATAGGAAGATCCATAATAGGAAGATCCCTGAGCCTAGGGCATAATTATTAGAATCTCTTCTTTTAAATAACAATCAATCAATCAAAACATATTGAGGTCTTTAGCCCACTGGGTACTGATTTGTCAAATGGTCTTATAAATAGAACTTTATTATTTTCCAAATTGGTACTGATTTCTCTCAATAGCTTGTGTTAAGACCACAGGTGCTATATCTCTCGATAGCCAGGCACCATCAGCCTTCTTCACCACACTTACTTATGCACACATTCATCTTCAGCGTTTATAGATTACCTTTTCTAACCAATTAGAAATGCAATCCTTAGCATATAATAAATTTCCATGCACACATGGGTCAAATTCTGGCTTTCTATAACTTGCATAAACATAAAAATGCTTTAAAAAAGAGAAGATAGTCTAAAGAAAAGTAGAAAAATGGTCTGTTTTCAAAAATTTAGATAACAATAAATGACTTTATGATATGTTACAGGATTTCTGGTTAAGAATTTTGTTCCATAAACTAGTATCCTGCTTTTATGTCCTGAAAATCATTCAAAGGCAACACAAAGTTGGAGAGTGGCCACATTAGGGAAGGGGGAAGCTCCAACGTATTTTCAGTAAAATTAGGAGAGTAGACATATAATCTTCAGACTCCAAAAGGATAGGTGAGATGAAGCAAAGACACGAAATTCTGGAGAAACTTTTAGGGTGGAGTAGGTTGTTAGAGTAATTATAATAAATCGCAAATTCAGAAGTACAGCCAGAATGCTCCTTAGTAGCCAGGATGGCAAGACTTCACCTCACATACTTTGGACATGTTATCAGGAGAGACCAGTCCCGGGAAAAGGGCAGGCTGCTTGGTAAAGCACAAAACAAAAGAAGACCCACAACAAGATGGAACTGCACAGTGGCTGCGACAATGGGCTCAAATATAACAACTGTGGGGCTGGTACAGGATTGGGCAGTGTTTTGTTTTGTTGTACATAAGACTGTATGCATCTGAACCAACTCGACAGCACTTAACATAAACAATGACAATATAGAACAATTTCCCAGACTTATTATTGTTGAGTAAAAATAAACAAGATGTAGAATACTGTGCATATTATGCCAACAAGTACATTTAAAAAGGAAGAGCAACTTCATGTTTGTTCATGAACATGTTAAAATATTTACATTTAATTATCGGTCAAGGCAATCACAACGGAAGGTGGGATCAAATTGAAGGGAGAGTCAAAAGTGATGGGTCAAAGACTTCTTACTTACAACTTGATGTATCTGTCGATTTCTAAACCATGTGGATATAATAACAATTCAAAAAGTTAACTTATTTTAAAAGCTTATAATATTTTAAATATTAAAATGTAACATTACAATATTAGGGTATTGTATTATTTAAAAAATAATAGTTACAAAACAGGATCTTAGTTTTATTATATAAGGATAGCTAGGTAACATACTCAGTTTCCTTTGCTTCTTTCTTCTCAACCCACACATCAGTGATAGCACCTGGCAAGCTACTATCTTTGTTTATTCCCTTTAGCTCTTGTAGAACTTCTGTTTCCAAATCATCAGGTTCTGCAAAAAAAAATATATAAGAAGGACCATGTCTGAAGGCAAAATTAGTGTAGAGAAAACAGTAAACTTTTTCTAAATCACCACTACCTAGTTTTAAGCTAATATATTAATTATAACCAAACTTTAAATATTTTATCTATAGATTTTTAATCGTTATTATGTTACTCTAATTCAATTGTTTTCTGAAATAGAATTTTGCATGTTCACTACAGTAAAAAATGTCTAAAAGAAATATTGTATATGCTGTATTTTTATTCTAAAATGTTTTCTTTATTAAAATGTCAATGAAATGTAAATTGGTTTAAAGAACAGAAGAAACCTAAGCAATGCAGTTTAAATGACATAAATATGCATAGACAAGATTATGAAGACAAATAAAGTGTGATCCCCTAATAGTAATTAAAGGCATCATTCAAATCTATCTTCCAGCAAGTACACAAGAAAACACAAAAATATTAGTTGGACTTATTTTGAAAATATAATCAAGGTACACTAAACAGAGACTATATAATCAGGGCACACTATATAAATAAAAAATATATAATCACATAAAATATAATCAAGGTACACTAAGCTAAGACCTAGAATAGTTAGTAACCAGGTTACTATATTTTCTGCCAGTAGTTTATTTTTTATCTGGTTGATATTTTCTAAAAAATAAATAATGATGAAGAGGTTTTTTTCCTTCAGTTTGTTTCTCTTTTCCTCTCCAATTAATATTATCAATATCCTCTTGTTCAAGACACGACAACAACTTTTTTCCTGAAATTTTGATACTCTTTCTCTCTCTATTTTAAAGGTTTCCAATTATTTGTTCTAGTTAAAATGATAATTATTATGCCAGTCGTTAAAAGATTCTTTTAACAGTTTTACTGGCATTTCATCCACTTATCACATAATTCAGTAGTTCAATCATATCAGGAAGAGTTGTACAAGCATTACTACAATCAATTTTAGAACATTTTCTCCCCACCCCTCATGGTTAAATCGCTTTTAAAATGAGTTGTGTAATCACCATCAGTTCTAGTGCTCCCCCTGCTCCCACATATATGTCCTTAAAATTTTTATCACTTCTTTCTGGGGGATCACTAATACAAGGCAATAACTCTAGAAGCAAATACTTTTTTACTTTATTGTAGAAATAACTGTCCTTCAGTACCTTAACCATAGAAATCCAGATACATGACATAAGAAGCATGAAGCCCAAACTATTTACTGTCTGGTCCTTTATAAAAAGTTTGTCAACCTCTGTATTGGCTAAACTTCTTGAATAAATCCTTTTTTTTT